TCCTTCAACTCATGGTAGAACCAACAAAATTACTACCAGTCCTTCTCTATTAAGAGGGCAGAATGCTTCCAAGCAAAGTTTATCTTTTTGAATTACCCTGCCATATACATGGAATATTGTGGTGTTCAAGGTGACATCATCTTCTATTTGTAATCTTCCTGCATGTTCCTGTTACTTGAACTTACTTTTTTTTTCAATTAAAGAAGAAGTGAAAAGAAAAGAAAGGCTGAGCTATTGCAGTGATTGTGCATTCTGGAACATGGTCCTAACAGCTTGGAAGCCCCCTTCATAGAACAAAGGGAAATTTTAGACTAAGTTAAAATTACTTCTAAGCACAAGAAATTTAGGACGATTGCACTGCATGGACTTTCCAAAGGGCCTCTGTGTTTCCCTGAAAATAAGACCTGGTCTTATATTTTGGGGAGACTCCAAAATAAGCATTGAGGCTTATTTTGGGGGAATCACGCTATCAGGGTGATCAGCCCAGCTAGGCATCCACCCCCAGCATGCGCACAAGAGGTGGTGCATGGTGGATGGTGTCCGGCAGCACCTACAGCCTGATGGCCCCTTGATTGGCATACTCTGGGGCTGCATACCGCACAATGCAGGTCAGTTGATTACCTGTACAAGCAGCAGACAAAAGCAGAGGCGCAGGGGGGGAGAAAGCTGAGAATTGGGGGGGGGCAGAGTGTGTAGTTGGCAACAGGAGGCTCATCTTCATGTGGCGGCACTGGCAGCAGGCAGAGGCATGGGTAGGCAATCCCAAAGCAATGCATGGGCCATGAGCAAGCCGAGAGCTGCAAAGATGACCCTCCTGTGGCCATCTGCCTGCTCCAGACCACTGTCTCAGCTTTCCTGTGGCCCATGCGGTGGTGCATCCAGATCACATGCCTCCCAGCCTGCTGCTTGGACAGGTAATCAACTCACCTACACTATATGGCCTGTGGCTGCTGCCAGACACTGTCAGCTCCCACACCCTCGCATCTCTGTTTCTGGCTATGCCCACACCCATATATACACCCCTATCTGGCTGATGAAGACCTTAACCACTTTTGGGGGGGGTAGAGCTTATATTAGGAGCACACTATAAAAAAAGCTAGGGCTTATTTTCTGGTTAGGTCTTATTTTCAGAGAAATACAGTAAGAGATATAACTTCTACCCAAATAGACATGGTAGCATTTTCCAGGTTCCACGAAACAGGAAACATTCTACTGGTTGAGTCCAATTTTTTTCCACAAAGTATATTGGGTACTTAATTAACTACCCAGATTAAATATGTACATTAAGTGTGTAGATTTACAGACAAAGGAAACACAGCAGATATGTAAAAGATGTAAAATGTGCTGCAAAGATGATATGATTGTATAAACGAAATTAAAAAAATAGAAAAAAAGGAAAAGTTAATAGAAACTTAGGACAACTTTTAAAAAAATATTAATCCAATCCAGTCCAATTCTGTATAGATATTTTGTCGCACATGTGGATAAGGGAATATGGATAAATATGGAGTTTTCCCAATGGAAAGAAGAAACAACTGGGATTGACTGATCATGTTTAATTCCTCCACACTACTAGGAGGAAATTCAGAAATAAATATCTCCTTGGAATTTTTCATACAGTTTGCATTAAAGGTGACAGCAGGGAAAGAGTTAAAATCTTGTATCGCTGGGCTCTCTAAAAGCTAAGCTTGATTAGCATTTAGACAAGAAGCCATCAGAAACTAACAGGATACAAACTATATTGGGAAAACTGGATGAAGGCAACTGTTCTGAGTCATGCTGAAAAAAACTATACATAGATATTCCTATAGATCACCAAGAATTGAGTTTGACTTGAAAAAGGTTTTGCTTAAAATAACCAGTTGCAATGAAATGAAATCATGCACTCATCCTTAAAGTAACATTAATAGAATCCTGTACATACACATATATTCACAGAGAGATTCCTAAAGCATAGACATTGTAATTCAAAGTCACACAAGGCAAAAGCCCATGGTGCACTGATATTGCAAGATAAAAAGACATGAGATATATCATTTAGCTCTATGAATTAGGAGACTTTGTTATCAAATGCAGTGAGTGAAGCTTCAGTAACTACAATGGTTCCAAACACTTGCCAATTTTTTGTCTATTTACCTGAGTAAACAAAGCTTCAAGAGGAAAGCTCAAAACTTCTCCTATTCATGCACCCATCTTATCCATTCTTATTCCTCTTCTTGTGTGGCAGGATTTCAAAATAATCATAGCACCTGCTTTCAAAATGTTTTGGAATCTTACCTTGAATTTTCCTGATTTTTCCCTGAAATATGAAATGATGGTCTAGTTTTAATTTAATTTTTCAGAAGAGCCTAATATATATATCTGGTTTCAGCATATTGACTTCCAAAATAGAATCATGCCTAGATATCACTCATTATCACCATGCAGATGTGGTCATGCATCTCAAATGTCAGATTCTTATTCTCAGAATTTAATTGCAGAACCGGTAGCTCCAATGTTGCAGTTTGTCTTCATTGGAAACCCAAAAACATTTGCCAAAAGTTGCACTTCTTCCTCAAAGGATCGCAGCACACAATACCCTTGCAAGCACAGAGGGAATAAAACCCCATACAACCTTGCCTTCAGTGGAGCCTGAATGCCCATTCCCTTTCTTCTGGCAATTGGATGGGTTCCAGTTATTTCAGTGCTAGTTTCTCCAGCCTGGTCTTCATTCCATAGATGGCACAACAGGTCAATATGGCATTTCTCCAGATTATAGTTTATAGTTTTATAGTTTTATTAGAATTTGTAGGCCGCCCTTTTCCCT